TCGGACCAATCCATGTAAACTGATCACCATAAAAAGTTCGGTTCGGCTAGGGGTACATTATGGATAAAGGCATCCATAATGCCCAAGGAGATTAATCCTAAATAGTTTTGGTCAGAAACTATACGTTCAACCCATACTCCATGTATCATGAAATTTCATGCCTTAACTAATCTATTAATGGTAACTAAATTCAGAATTCTTCATGTGGATGTGAACAATTACGTTTGAGATATTACTGTACCTAATGAGGACGATATAAAGCTTCTTCTCCTTCTTATTGTCTGACCATACTTCGATATTGGAGAAGTTCCGTTGGAGCTTTTTCTGGGCGCTGTCGACCCCAAGCTCTCCTAGACCATCTCCTTTCTCTCCTTCAGACAAATCTTCAGACATGTCCTCTGTCACATCCTTGCGCCCCTGTTCTCGTTCCCACCTCCGGTTCACTAACCTTTGGAAATCCTCCGATTCCAACTGCCAAAAGATAATTTCATATTTATGGTTAAGTAGGATACTCATTTGGAAATACATACTAAAAAGAGAAGACACATCAAGAAGCCTGGTTAAATAAAACCTAAACAACTGAGACCTATCCACCGTAAAGTGTCATTTTCATAAGACTAATATGGACATGCACTAATAAACCATAGAATTCGAAGGAAGTACTAATCAAAACCAGCTATTTATATGGAAATTAAATTACGTAAGAAGCATCAATTGAATGGTTTTCTGTTTATGCACATTAAACCATCAACCAACAGGTTTTCCATTTATGCCCATTTTTTAATATGCATTTGAAGATATCATCATTGAATATAAACCAAGGAATTTTCATTTCCATTTCTTGTTTCATTTGTTCATTCAATACCATATATATAAAAAGATGCAATTTAATTGTGAGATTTCATTGCCTATTAGCTCCCACATAAAGCATACGCAATTCACTGAAAAAAAACAGAGGAAAGGGACAGTGACTCAAACAAGAAAAAGTGCAATTTTCACTCTATCCCCTTTAACCCCACCCCAAAATCAACAGAGTGATATCAAAAAACTTAGCTCTGAAAAATCAAGAATCCCATTTTCTCTTGCCCACTTAAACAACACAAACACACATATTTTTTTTTGGGTAAGGCTTGCACCTCTAAATGCTTTGAGGCTTCGGCTTCATTTCACTATCCGATTTAGACTTTTTAAACATTGCTATCAAAGTATAAACTCGCTTGTCTCTTACTGTGCTAATTCTCAATATTATAGATGGTTGAGTTAGATCCTGTGGTTCTAGATGTTGCAAGAGACTATTTTAGCTTTGAAGAAGATAAACATTTGAAGGTAATATGTTTGTATTTTCTCATTCCCCTTGTCATGCATTCTTTTTGCTTTTACAAAATCCATCATTCCAATTTCTCTTCTGTATCTTTCCTTTCCCGTTTGGCAATTGATGTAATTGCTGCTAATTAAGCAGAAAAATCAGCTCAGGAAGCTAAGTAGCATACTCACCAATTCATGAGCCGGATGAAATGAACATGTTATTTTCCGGAGAAGTAGAATACAACACATTGAGAGCGCTCTAATTAGTACAAATACAATGGCTACATAAATACCTAGCCCCCGTTTGGCCCACATTAATTTATAATACATTTTTCTTTCTCTTCTTTTTCAACCACACATTCTCCAATAAAATAATATTACACGTAAATCAAAAACTTTTCCTTCTTTTTTAACCACATATTCTTAAAAAAAAAAAAATACTATTCCAAAAATTATAACATCAAATAATGGGGGCCAAACGGAGGCTTAATCTTCTATTATAAAATGTATGCATAAATTTTCTCCATCTTTCTTGAAAAAGTGTGTATTTATATATCTACAGTGTTGAATTTGAACCACATCAATTACTTGTTCCAATGAAATGGTATTTGTTGACCCCAAAAAATGTTGCCAACAGGTGTCGGGCCCACTCGTGCACACGCAAGCTTGATCCAACACGCTAATGCCGATCAACGGTCATGATAGCTCCAGATAAAAGGCGTGGGAGTGGCTAGAAGGCACGAGACGTTTCCGTTCAGGCCACCGGCAAGAATATGATACGATTGTATAAGAAACCAATCGACAAAGTACGATCTGTAGTAATGAAATGTTGTAAAAAATGCAGTTGAAACGAGAGAGATTGC